CCCTATTGGTCTTCAAGGCCATCAATCATAGGTATGAGCCAGAGTCAAATACAGCGCTCAACCATACATGTTCGGGGTCATTTATCAATGCGTCTCTTCCTGGGAGGGGGCAACACTGAGCTCACAGATGGTACTGTGCTGCTCTGTACAAGAGAGCAGACACTCATCTCAATGCCCTGGGAGCCCCAATATTCTGGGTGCCCTGTTCTGCAGATTGCGCTACCCACAAGGCCATCCGTCCGTCATAGTTGTGAGCCAACAAGTCAAATCCAGCGCTCTGTCATACATGTTCAGGGGTATTTATCATTGCGTCTCCTCCTGGGGGGACATCACTGAGCTCACAGATGGTTCTGAACGTTTGCTGCTTTGTACAGAGAGCCGACGCACATCTCAATGCGCTGGGAGCCCCAATACCCGGGGGTTCCCCATTCCGGAGATCGCCCACCCCCCATTGGCCTGCAAGGCCGTCCATCATAGTTATGAGCCAACTTTTCACAATGTTTAAAAGAATAAAATGTTATAAATGGGCCCCATCAGACCTTGTACACACGCTTGTATAGGAGCAATGTTCAGAACAGACAGTTCCTATTGCAGGCTTTGATATGAGGGTTAGATCTGGTACACACAGCAAGTCAGCTTGTATACGAGTGTGTATGGTCGGCGTGTGAAAGCTTTGAAAGCATTTTCAGCTCCACCAGGAGGATGTAAGATTATAATAGGAGCGCTGTCACTTTAAATAGGGTCACCTGCTCACTTTGTTTGGATTGTATGTGGGACTGGAACCTGATTAAAGTGACAGTCATCCCTCCCATTGTCATCTCTCTGCCAAGGAGCTGAAGGTGCTGTTAAAGCTACAAAACATTTGCCTGAAGCTGTATAGGAACTGAATCCCAATGCCTTGTATCAAAGTGTCTGCAATAAGAACTGTCTGAGATTCCAGACCTGTGTATAGAAGCCTGGTGTCCATTCTGCGGTACGAGGCAAACACTCGGCAATGTACCCGACCCCTAACCCTGGAAGAACCCCTGCAAAGCTCGATGGAAGGCGAATGAAGAAAGCGACAGCGGAAGCGGCTGGTTACAAATGTCAGTCTGATCTTTATTGTCTGAAAAGTGTCTGTGCATTGCATAGGTGGAGATCGGCCTTCACAGAAGACAAGGAAACCACGTCAATGTATTTACAGCTTGTTCGGGACAATTGTATACATCTAGAGATAGATATGTATATACACAAACACCGCTCTGTCCAGGCTCCGCCCTCTGCACTTTGAATGGAAGGATCCCACGTGTGGCTGCGGGGAATCATGTGACACTTGCAGTCGGCCCCCCACCACCGCTTCCTGTGTAAGGTTCGGGCACAGCTCTATAGGGAGGGGTAAAACAGCCATTTCTGGGTCATATTTACAATTTTTGACACGACCAGAAATCACCAATGTGGCCGCGACCGGCGGTATGACGTATTCCAGGCGTTGCTGCAATCTTCAGACCATGCCGCAGGAAGATGATTTCCAGACCGTCATACCGTGGAGGAGAATACAAACTGCGCCCTTCAATCTGGAGTGTGACACCATTGTCTATTACTATAGTCCAACTTCTGTTTTGGGTCAAATAACCAAACAGCTTCTTTTATATATCGGAGACTCTGATGGTGAGATTTCCCCCAGTAGTTTGTGTCTCTGCCCCTCCCACAATGGTGAGATTTCCCCCCAGTAGTTTGTCTCTGCTCCTCCCACAATGGTGAGATTTCCCCCCAGTAGTTTGTCTCTGCTCCTCCCACAATGGTGAGATTTCCCCAGTAGTTTGTGTCTCTGCCCCTCCCACAATGGAGATTTCCCCCAGTAGTTTGTCTCTGCCCCTCCCACAATGGTGAAATTTCCTCCAGTAGTTTGTGTCTCTGCCCCTCCCACACTGGTGAGCTTTGCCTGGGGGTAGCCTGTTTGGCCCCTCCCACAATGTTGAGTCTAACTCTCTCCATGGTAGTCTGTACCTAGGCCTATCCCACAATGGTGACCCCCTACCCGTAGTAGTCTGTAACTTGGTCTATTCCACAATGGTGGGACCGGCCCGTGGTAGTCTGTGGCTTGGGCCCACCCACAATGGGCAGGTTCCCCTCAGGAGTTTAGGTCTGGGCCCCTCCCACAATGGTGAAGCTTCCCCACATCTCAGCAGTGGAGATCCTGACAGAAGCCGGCATGTTTTTCCAAGTAATAAGCACCCAAAACTAGAGTTTGGCCTGTAAATAAAGGATGAGGTCAACTCATCATATCTCCTAACGGTACCAAGTCGTCGGCGTCATGGCCAACATCCTGTGACAGTCACATGATGCTGGGCCCAGCCATGACCACCTTCAAGGTGGTCAAGTCAGAAAGACAGATGACATTTCCCAGAATGCTGGGTGAGGAAGGGACACCCGGGCTGTGTACAACGATTGGAGGGCTGAGAGCGGCAGAACACAAGGATTGTATTCAAAGCAGATTCTTCCTCTAGAAAATGGAAGTTCCTATTATGAAGATGCAACTGGGGATAAAAGTCAAACTCGGGCGCTTGTTTCACTCCTCAAATCCTGAGATGGGACAACTCGCTGTGAACTAAAAACGTGAATAATGAGAAATGATTAGCAGAAAAAGCTGCACGCAGGTGTTCTGGGACGCCAACATTAACTTTATTGGTCCAGCACATCACACTCTACCCCGGAACTTCCAACTGACGCGTTTTCCCCCTTGAGGCTTATTTGTAGAACGTTCCACAATTTATCCCTAAGTAGGGACCTAACGCATCAGAAAGTGGTGCTGGTGTGGAGTGTACTCGGATGTCCTGGAACAATAAAGTTGATTTTGGCTTTCTGGTACAGCGGTGTGCCGTTTCCTTTGTACATCCAAGGAAACGGAGCGAACACCCACGTCTAGCATGTTTACAGTCACATGACCTTAGAGCAGTACCAAAGACTTGAGTGTAAATTTTCATATCTTCCATCGTTTACCCCGCTCTATAGAACGCCGTGCCAGGGTCGGTCTGATCACCATATGGGGGGCGGTGAGGAGGAATCTAGTGCAAACTATCTGGAACATCTTGTATGAGCGCTTCAATGGCAGCTTTTCTTGGGTCACGTTACATGTGAAGTTATCTGCCGGAGTTGGTGGTTGCCAACATGGAGGTCCGGTCGTGTCCTGAATTTGGTGCCACGAGCTGGACTGTGGGGGGCACAGCTGCATGTTCTGCTACATTTGGTGCCGGACCGTCATGGTGAGAAGACCAGGCCCTGGAGAACCTGCCGAATATTATTGTAAGAAGATTTCATGTGGTTTTTCTCCATCTGTAGGAAATCTCCGTAAGGCCTCCCCGGAACCACCACCTGGGGGGACATGATAGCCGTGCACCTGGCCAGTCCGGAACGGTTATAAAATTGCAGCCACACAAAGAGCGGTGAAGGCCGGCAACCCCAGAAGACCAGTCCATTGTCCATTGCGGTTGGGCAAGATTGAGTGTGATTGGTTGATACATGGTGTTATGGTACGGGATGGGTTAGTACACAATTGGCACCATTGGGGTGGGGGAGGGCTGCTGGATGTGGCATTGTAAGGAGATCTGCTACGGTGCCACAAGGCACGAGGGACCCATTAAATCCATGAGATTCACTCCTCTCTAAGTCACAAAAGGATGATGGACCGCAGGGGGGAGGGGGGCTGAACGTGGGGGACGTGCCCAGGCTCGTGAGACATACGCAACCAATTCGAGGAGGGTAAGGCCAACTAACTCGATGTTCTGTGGTCACCCCGAGCTGCCGGTGACCACACACGGTCCGTGCGGAGGACAGCAGGGTGTAGGCACTCAAGTAAGAACAGCCCGTTAAAGTTCACGTCAGGGCCGTAACTGAGAAGTCTGTCAGAATCATTTGGCAGCAGGTTATTGTTCCGGCTCGGCCCCCGGCATATTATTATTGTTATCGGTGACGTCCACCAGTGTTGTGTTCTAGTGCCACAGGTCGAGTCTCTTGAAGAAAAAAAAAAAGGGTAGAAAAGACAGAGGAGGACAGAGCGCTGTTCTCGCCCCGCTGTGACCCCCCCCCCCAACCTGCGCATTCATGAGTCCGATTCCGCAGAGTATTCCCATTTCATCGGCCTCCAGACCAGTCCGGCGGCGGGAAAACTAAGATGCCAAGAGCGTCATTAAAAGCAGACACACGGCCACAGTCATATGCAAGTGTTCCCTTTTCGGGCTCGTCCCGCTGATGCTCTTCTCCAGCTTGGGGATCTCCGGGTTGAAGTTTCCTGAAATAGAAGAAAGATTGGGTTGGATCCGTAACATTTCCAAACTGCGCCCCTTCTTAGTCAATGACACCCCATTATGCCTGTGGTAGTCTGTGACTTGGCCCCTTCCACAATGGTAAGCTGTGGCTTGGTAGTCTGTGGCTTGGTCCCTACCACAATAGTGAGCCCTCCCCGTGGTATTCTGTAACTTGGCCTATCCTACAATGGTGGGACCGCCGCGTGGTAGTGCCTGTCTTGGGCTCTCCCACAATGGGCAGGTTCTCCTCAGGAGTTGGGGTGATGGCTCCTCCCACCATGGTGAGCTCTCCCCATGGTAGTCCAACTAGGCCTCTCGAGTCTCCTGAAAAGGACAGAGCATCGCTCTCGCGCCGCTGGACAGTATGGCATGCTACTCTGCAAACAAGGACTTAATCTCAGGGATCCTGGCTCCGCCTCTTTATTGAGCTGCAAATCCAATTACCTCAACAGTGAGGGGATGGGAGGTCACAACAGTGACTTGGGGGTTGAAGTCGGAATTTGCATAATAGTCCGCCCTAGTTCTAGGCTCTCTGCAGGATCAGAGTTATATGAAGACACATTGGGTCTTGCATCCTTCTTCCCTACTGATACCATTTCTACAGGTTCACTTTACATGCAATGTGTATCCACCTAAAAAATGAATGGCAGAGAATGGGGAGACAGAGATCCAATCACAGCTCAGCAAATCATTAAGTAGGATTATTTCCCTCTCTGCACAGACCTCTGGCTCATAGTTATCATATAAAGACTTATCAATATCCTCAATGCAGGTCTGTGGCCTCTGGTCACATGTCACTATCTCCAGTAAGGGTCTGCTGCCACTGATCACATGTCACTATTCCCAATGAGGGTATGATGCATCCAGTCACATGTCACTATCCCCACAGAGGGCCTGCTCTCTCCGATCATATATCACTATTCCCAATCAGGGCCTGCTGAGTCTGGTCACATGTCATCATCTCCCGTGAGGGCCTGCTGCCTATAGTCACATGGCACTACTCCCAATGAGGGTATGCTGCCTCTGCTAATGTCACTAACCCCAGTGTGGGCCTACCCCACATATAGAGGGCCTGCTGCCTCCGGTCACCATCCACCATTGAGGGTCATGTTGCCTCTGACCATATATTATCTTCAGTGAGGGCCTGCTGCCTCTGGTCACTATGCCCACTGAGGGTCATGTTGCCTCTGACCATATATTATCTTCAGTGAGGGCCTGCTGCCTCCGGTCACTATCCACCATTGAGGGTCATGTTGCTTCTGACCACATATTATCTTCAGTGAGGGCCTGCTGCCTCTGGTCACTATGCCCACTGAGGGTCATGCTGTCACTGGTCACATGTCACTATACCCAATGAGAGTCTGCTGCCTCTGGTCACATGTGATTAAACTTCTTCCTCGACTCCATCAGAAGAAACGGATTTCTCTCTCTGTCTGCAGCAGCTGATAACAAGACTTGCTGGGACCTCCTATAGGTGAGGGGAAAATCTCAAAAAGAGGAGACCCGGCCTCCTGCCAAACACCATCCATTGCCATCTGGACCCGTATGGAGTGCTGGCACCAACAGCCTGGTCCTCCTAAACCAAGAATCTCTTCATTCTTCTCATTGAGCACTAAGCTGGAGAGCGCGTCTCCTGGTAACGAGCGCTGAGCCCATTCACGCGCCGCTGACTAATCCCCTCACACATCCGCCTTGGCTGCTCTTCTGAGAACTGTGACAGATAGAAAAGTGACCCAACAACCCGGACCACAAATGAAGAGACTGGCGGCTAATGTGCACAAATCCCCCCCGTTCCTCCCACCCCTGGGGTCCCGAGACCGATATCAGCAGGATGGGGCACTTCAGGACGTCTCCACCACCAAAGATGTACAGGTCATCCTTCCTTATGTCTATGGGGGCAGAGTGACTGCAACTCACTGACTGTCCACATAAAAATGAGAATAATATTACCTATAAAAGCAGCAGAGACCTACACTACATAATATCACTATCTGTAGGGGGCAGCAGAGTACTACACTACATAATATCACTATCTGTAGGGGGCAGCAGAGACCTACACTACATAATACCTGTAGGGGGCAGCAGAGACCTACACTACATAATATCACTATCTGTAGGGGGCAGCAGAGTACTACACTGCATAATATCACCACCTGTAGGGGGCAGCAGAGACTTGCACTACATATTACTTGTAGGGGGCAGCAGAGTCCTACACTACATAATATCACTACCTGTAGGGGGCAGCAGAGACTTGCACTACATATTACCTAGAGGCAGCAGAGGCTTACACCACATATTACCTGTAGCGGCAGCAGAGACTTACACTACATATTATCACTACCTGTAGGGGGCAGCAGAGACTTACACTACATAATAATACCTGTAGGGGCAGCAGAGACTTACACTACATAATACCTGTAGGGGCAGCAGAGACTTGCACTACATAATATTACCTGTAGGGGGCACTACATAATATTACCTGTAGGAGGCAGCAGAGTCCTACACTACAAAATATTACCTGTAGGGGGCAGCAGAGTCCTACACTACATAATATCACTACCTGTAGGGGGCAGCGGAGACTTACACTACATAATCCCTGTAGGGGCAGCAGAGACGTACACCACAAAATATTACCTATAGAGGCAGCAGAGACTTGCACTACATATTATCACTACCTGTAGGGGGCAGCGGAGACTTACACTACATAATCCCTGTAGGGGCAGCAGAGACGTACACCACAAAATATTACCTATAGAGGCAGCAGAGACTTGCACTACATATTATCACTACCTGTAGGGGGCAGCGGAGACTTACACTACATAATCCCTGTAGGGGCAGCAGAGACGTACACCACAAAATATTACCTATAGAGGCAGCAGAGACTTGCACTACATATTATCACTACCTGTAGGGGGCAGCGGAGACTTACACTACATAATCCCTGTAGGGGCAGCAGAGACGTACACCACAAAATATTACCTATAGAGGCAGCAGAGACTTGCACTACATATTATCACTACCTGTAGGGGGCAGCGGAGACTTACACTACATAATCCCTGTAGGGGCAGCAGAGACGTACACCACAAAATATTACCTATAGAGGCAGCAGAGACTTGCACTACATATTATCACTACCTGTAGGGGGCAGCGGAGACTTACACTACATAATCCCTGTAGGGGCAGCAGAGACGTACACCACAAAATATTACCTATAGAGGCAGCAGAGACTTGCACTACATATTATCACTACCTGTAGGGGGCAGCGGAGACTTACACTACATAATCCCTGTAGGGGCAGCAGAGACGTACACCACAAAATATTACCTATAGAGGCAGCAGAGACTTGCACTACATATTATCACTACCTGTAGGGGGCAGCGGAGACTTACACTACATAATCCCTGTAGGGGCAGCAGAGACGTACACCACAAAATATTACCTATAGAGGCAGCAGAGACTTGCACTACATATTATCACTACCTGTAGGGGGCAGCGGAGACTTACACTACATAATCCCTGTAGGGGCAGCAGAGACGTACACCACAAAATATTACCTATAGAGGCAGCAGAGACTTGCACTACATATTATCACTACCTGTAGGGGGCAGCGGAGACTTACACTACATAATCCCTGTAGGGGCAGCAGAGACGTACACCACAAAATATTACCTATAGAGGCAGCAGAGACTTGCACTACATATTATCACTACCTGTAGGGGGCAGCGGAGACTTACACTACATAATCCCTGTAGGGGCAGCAGAGACGTACACCACAAAATATTACCTATAGAGGCAGCAGAGACTTGCACTACATATTATCACTACCTGTAGGGGGCAGCGGAGACTTACACTACATAATAATACCTGTAGGGGCAGCAGAGACGTACACCACAAAATATTACCTATAGAGGCAGCAGAGACTTGCACTACATATTATCACTACCTGTAGGGGACAACAGAAACTTACCCTACATAATATTACCTGCAGGGGGCAGCAGAGACATGCACTACCTAAATCCCTACCTTCACTACACTTCTTAGGCGCAGGAAGGATAGAGGGAAGAATGAAATCTCGGCTTCCTGTATCTCACATCTGAATAAATTATCAAACAGGAGATTTTCCAAAAAATTGCATCCCCTTCATCCCTTAACATCTACAAACGTTCAAAGCTACAGAATAGGATGAAAGAGCCGGCTGTCATTTTCAGACTGGCCTGTAGAGGGCGACAGACACCACACATTGCACGGACTGCTTACCTAGATCCTCGATCTTCACTTCAGGTCCTATCGTGAACTGCGGCAGCGTGGGAGATTGCTTCTCGCCTGAGTGGGCTGCTGTGGGAGGGAAATTACACCATTACCACAGACCAAAATCATAACTGCCCTGAAG